GGTCACTGCCCCGGGATACACCGTGGTCCCTGACTCAGGATGCACCACAGTTCCAGCCCCGGGATACACCGTGGTCCCTGACTCAGGATGCACCACGGTCACTGCCCCAGGATATGCCGTGGTCCCTGAGCCGGGATGTAACACTGTCCCTCAGCCGGGACGCACCATGGTTGCTGCACCGGGATATGGCACACCTGAAAAGGGCTACACCAAGATCCCTGTGCCCTGCCCTTCAGAGGTCATTCCAGGCCCAGCTCAGCAGAAAAAGATGAAGTAATGCTGAGGACAGCCAGGCCCTTGAGAAGCTGATGATCAACTTCTGAATAACTTCTTTCCATCTGCTTCTGTGTTTTAACAGTCTGTACACCTTGTAAACAATTTGATGTCACCCTGAGTCAAACTGTCTCTCTTATCTGTATTCTAAAGCTTTGTGCTATGATGCCTTCCTTTACACATACCCTGAGCCATCTTCCGAGCCTCTGAGTTAAGCAGAAGGTTTCAGTGCTTTGCTGGTCTTCAGTTGCTCAGAGTTCATCCTGAGTGGAATCTTTGATGAGAAGAAATGCATATTTCCTATTCTTCCCCATTAAACTCCTTCTTCTAACTCCACTCTTGGCTATGTGTGTCATTGGCTGAATGTTCCCTCTTTCTCGTTCTTCTATGGTGAGTCAGAGCTTATAGACAAAGAAAACTTGTTATATACATTATCTGTTTAATCCTAGCACCATGTACTTCTATGGGCTGTGGGGACATATTCGGAGGGATTGTTGTACAGTATTGAGATCCTATCAAATGGGCTGCAGACCGTGTCACTTTGGGCAGCCACAGCACTGAACTGAGTCCCATGATACCTGTCAGAAGCCACATCTGATCTTCTGTATCTTACCCACAAGTCTCCTGTCTATTGCATGAAAATTTTATTTCTATGTATATGAAGTTGGTAGCCTATTTTTCTTCGTTTTTCCTTGAATATAGTCTAAAACATATAGAACTGCACATACTCACAAAGAGATACATTTGTAAATACATCACATAATCACCCACGTGGGCTTCACCTTTGTCAGAGCAGATTATCTTTTGCTGAGTAGCTGTTATGTGCACAGAGGCCTAAAAGTGCCAGGAAGAGGAAGAGGACACAGTGCACAGTGTCACCCCTTGGACAACCTGTGATCTTCTCCAGGAGATACCACACTCACATTCTTCTTGCACAAAAATGTGCAAACTACACGCTCATGCACACATGCACATATGTACACCTACACCCATGTCTCTCTCCCAAAGTAACCCTCAGCACCATATATTTGTAGTATTGCAGAGAGGGGGTGTGATCAGTTAGAATGGCTGTTATGAAACAAATAACAAGTTCTGGCAAGGATGTGGAGAAGAGGGCACCCTTAAGTGCTGTTGGTGGGAATGTCAGTTAGTGCAGCCACTGTGGAGAATATTATGCATGCTTTTCAAAAAATAAAATCTTCCATGTGATCCAGCTCTCCTAACCCTAGATATATAAAGGAAATGAAATTGACGTCTAAAACAAATTACCTGCATCCCCACAGTTATTGTGGCATTGTTAACAACAACCAAGATACTTATTCAGCTGATGTGTCCATCAACGGATGACTGGATAAATAAAATATGGCATATACACACAATGGAATATTGCTCAGCCATAAATAAAATGAAATCCTGCCTTTTGCAGCAAAATGGATGAAACCCCAGAGGATATCTTGTTGACAGTTTGTGTCAGGAGTGGGGTTCAAGAAATCAACCGAAATATGGCAAAAGCATTTTGAGGGAGGTACAGTACAGATGACAGAACAAGGGCTGATGAAAATTTAGTGCCTGGATGTCTATCAAGTGGTGCAGATTAGCAGTTGACCTGCAATTAATCACTAAGAGGTAAAGCTTACTAGTGAAACTTGGAAAATGTTATGGTCTATTTGTATCCTTACCCAAATTTACACATTGAAGTCTTAACCTCAAGATGATTGTAGGATACAGGCAATTTGAGGGGTAATTAGGTCATGAGGATTGAGTTCTTATGAGCAGGATTAGTGCCTTTGTTAAGGAGACCAAGAGAATTCCCTTTTCCCTGATCTTATGTAAGGATGCAGCAAAGGAACAGCCATTTGTCTATAAAGTAAGAACCAGGCTCTCACCAGACAGTGAATCTACTTTTGCCTTGATCTTGGGTGTCCCAACTTCCTGAACTATGAGAAATAAATTTATATTATTTATAAGTCATCTAGTCTCTGAGTTTTTCTATAACAGCCTGAACTGAATGACATAGAAATGAATTTTAAAACTATTCACTAGATAAATAGGGAAATGAAAAATAATAAGAAACAATCTAAACATACAATTCCTTGGTTATTTTTGTGTATTATGATAAAGAACTAAGCCAAAATACTGGGGAAAGTCCTGATGCTGCATCGAGCTTGGATTTTGTCAGTCTAGGTTAAAACCACTAGGTCCATCCAAGGATGCTATCAAAGGGAAAAATTATGCTAAAACAATAGAACATAAGTCTATGATCCCTGGTCATCAAAAAAGTAGATGAGTTGGTGGGGAGACAAAATCAAGACACTACCAAAACCAGGAGCTATAGTAGTAAGGAACTGTCTCATTTTGTGTATTAATAACATTAGCTTTCTCCTATGGTTCTTAAAGATGCTAAGAAAATTAGAATAATTTACAAAAGAATGAATGAATAGAAATCAGGTAGTTGAAGCACTCATTTCAGTAAGTTGGGAATCTTAAACAGTTATTAATATATACTATGATTAAAGTAGACATTTCTGAGTTAAAATAAAGGTCATAATGGGAACTCTATTGTTTCCCCAACAATGTTTGGCCTTAAACAAATCTAGTGTATTTGCCTTACTTTGGAGAAACCTTAAAATCCAGAAATACAAAGTGGCAATGAGAAAGCCGACCTTGAATCACTAGGGGTGATGATCTAGTAAAGAAATCATAAGGATGCCTAATGGAGGAATCAAAGTCCTTTGTCTTAACCTGTAGCTAAGTTCTCTCAAAAAGAAGCACCATAGAATTAGTCAGCAGTTAAAGTGTAGAACAGAATTTATTCAGAGTATTGCAATAGATGAAAGAACCCTTACTAGGGAATCAAATTGAATCCAAATATAGTAAATTCACCTGGGGATATAGAGCCAAGGAGCAAAGTTAGAGGCACAGTAGGTTGAAAATGGCTAAGACAGACAGCAAAGGTAGGGAGTTTCTCACTAAACCAAGTTGACAGGATTCTAGATGAAGGCAGATCAAGGTGATCAGAGATCAAGGATAGGAGGTTTTTTCCTAAACTGGCTTAGCAGAATTCCTGCTATCATTGGGTTATGCAAATTCAGCAAAGATGGGGCAAAAGGAATAAACCATCTATTGAGACTTGGTAGTCAGGCAAATTATGAAGAAATTTTCTAGATTTTGGACTCAAAGCATCCGGAATGGCCACACAGCAGTCACTTTAGGCATACAGCTTGCCCACACATGATCTGCTATGGCGGTGACACTTCTGTAGTTCCTTTCAAGTGATCCAGCTCCTTCAGGACTTCTTTAGATCCTAGGCTGAGGGGAGGAGGGCCGTATGAGATAGCCAACAGTCCCACAAATGATCTGGATAGTAAAGTTTTAGTCCTCAAGGACTACAAGTCAGGAGACTGGGAGAAAACTGGAATCATCAACTGTAGTCAGAGTTGAGAATTTGCTAAA